GGAGAGCCGGGGTGGGGGTGCGGGCTGTGGGGGGAGAGCTGAGGTGGGGGGTGTGGGGAGCCTGTGGTTTAGGAGTAGAACTGACCGGTCTCACTAAAGGTTTGGGGAGGGGAAGTGAGAGAGACACATGTTGTGGCCACTCCCAGGCTCTGGTTTTAGCTGTGCTGACTGACGGGGAGGCCTGTGGAGTGGCGGGCTGGGTTTGGAGTGCGAGCTCTCCATGGGCATATTCAGACAGGATCAGAGATGCAATTGGACGTGCAAGACGGAAGCGCAGGGTGTCAGAAATGCAGGAGCCGTTGTCACAGAGCCAAGACTGAAGCTGTGGGAATGGAAACTTCCCAGGGAGAAAGAACGAGCTGTCCCGCGAGCTCACAAACTGCCCTCTCATCTCGTTTGGCACCGGCGCCCATGGGTGACATCCGCCACGGCGCTGACTCCTACGAGCAGCACCCGAAGGGTGGGATACTCGCTTCTCTGCAGGCCTCACGAGGTCCATCCCAGCTCCAGGGTGCTGAGAGGTGGGGCAGATCCCCCCACCCCGGGGTCCCCATGGTCACCTGAGCTGCAGAGCAGACGGCCAGGTCCTCAGTACTTGGGGAAGTCGCCTTTAAGACCTGTGCAATCGGGACCAGCAGTTGGCGTCATGGCTGTGTCGTTGGACTCCCGTATAGTCAACTGTGGCTCAAGTCCCAGACTCAGTGGCTTAAACTCACGCCGGGCGTGTGTGCGTGCGTGTCCAAGATCCCGAGAGGAGAGTGGAGGAGAAGGGATTGAGACGTGGCCATCCCCCCTGGGGGGTGATTTCTCACTTTCTGTCTCTCTGTCTCTCTCTCTGTTTCTGGCGAGCACACGCACCCTATAGCAAAAACCTTTCAAAAAAGCAAAAACAAAAACAAGGCCCTGCACAATTCGCCTGAGCTGAACCCCCACATGGGAGCCAGAGCCGGGCCATTGCCTCAGACCGAAACAACGATCGGGATCACACCACTGATGCACGCTCAGCAGGCCACACAAGTCCACTGCCACCTGCTCAGGCGAGGCTGCACCCACTGCCACCCCGATGTAGTTTCTTAGGTTTTGCTTTAGGGCACTTGAGGTCACTGGAAAGAGAAGGAAAGTGAAAAATCACCCCCTGGGGGATGGCCTTGACGCCCTTCCTTCTTCACGCTCCTCTCAGGATTTTGGATGTGCTCCCACATGCCCGGGTGTGATCTCAAGCCCCCAATCCCAGACTCAGATCGTGGCCCACCGTGAGTTCCCCTCAGCCACCAAGCCACCTGCTAGGTCCCACAGCACCACTATGGTGATCCTGATAGAAATGTCAGCAAATGTCCCCAGTCTTCAGCATCCTCATCTAATTAACGCCTTAATCTACAGATTTGTATTTGCAGACTTGGCTTTGTGACACCCGTACTACCAGAGAGTCTAGGAGCGCCAAGGGCGGGACGTCTGTCCTCAGCTTGATGGACAGCCTTGGCCCAGTAACTGCCGCATCAGGACCAAGTAAGGAAGCCCCCGTCTGCCGCCAACCTGCCGCACAGACAGCCCTCCTGGCTAACTGTCCTTCTGACCCAAAGTTCAAGGGAAGAGTACAGACGTTCTGCAGAGAGCATCTGTGGACAAGGGGAGCGTAAGGCCATGACTCCGAGAGTGGGGCCTGAGGACCCTCCAGGCCGACTCAGGGCTGGGAGGGCGAGAGCAGAGTGCGCCCACAGTGGGGCAGGCCGCCTTGAGCTCGAGCCTTCGCCAGGCTCGGGCAGCAAAGAGCAGGCCCCGTCCAGAGGCGTGTGTGTGGGTGCACTGACACCGATGTGGGCACACAGACCTACTGCACTGAACGTTCACCGGACGTACTTGAAGCTAACAGAAAAGAAAGCGCCGTGTTTGGGCTTTGTCAGCAGACCTGGAGGAAGTGCTTCATGGAGCCCCTCTAGCCCCCCCAGACGGGTGAGCAGGGGAGCTTGGGAGGGCAGGCTGGCGTGAAGGAGGGTGTGCAGGGGAGCTCCGGAGGGCAGGTCGGCGTGAAGGAGGGTGTGCAGGGGAGCTCCAGGAGGGCAGGTCGGCGTGAAGGAGGGTGTGCAGGGGAGCTCCGGAGGGCAGGGCGGGGTGAAGGAGGGGGTGCAGGGGGGCGCCGGAGGGGGGGTCGCAGGGGAGCTCCGGAGGGCAGGTCGGCGTGAAGGAGGGTGTGCAGGGGAGCTCCAGAGGGCAGGTCGGCGTGAAGGAGGGTGTGCAGGGGAGCTCCGGAGGGCAGGTCAGAGTGAAGGAGGGTGTGCAGGGGAGCACGGGAGGGCTGGTCGGCGTGAAGGAGGGGCTTGAAGCGGACGGAGCCACGACTGGAGTGTACGGAGGCAGAGAAGCGAGTGGGTCTCTGGGGGTACTCCAAATATGGGGAGTACAGCACTGTCGGCACCTGTTTTGGTGGCTTGGAGAAGACTCTTGACGAAGGCAAACTCCATGTTCAATAGCAACAAATCCCTTGGGATTAAGAAGGTTGTCTACCAGGACCAGTAGATAGCATAATGGTTACACCGCTCGACTCCCACAGGGCGAACCATGGTTTGAGTCCCAGACCTGGTGCCTTGAAAGTCACAACAGGTATGTGTGTGTGCATGGCCAAAGTCCCTAGGGGAGAATGAAGGAGAAGAGATTGCAGTGTGGCCATCCCGCCTGGGGTGGGGGGTGAGTTTGCGCTTTCTGTCTCTGTCTCTCTGGTGAGTGCAGAAGCCCTATAGCAAAAAACAAAACAAAACAACAACAACAACAACAACAACTAAGGAAGTTATCTACCTTTTAAAAATATATATATTAATTTTATTTATTATTATTATCTACTTTGACTAGAGAGAGAGGAAAAAGGTAAAGTGTAAAAGCAAGCCATGAGGCCCAGGACTCAAACTGTGGTTGGCTGTGTGGGAGTTCAGCACCTTAACCACCATGCCCCCTGCCAGCCCTGAAGGTTAGCTCCTTTTACACTCCCTTCCAATCTTGTCCAGGCGAGTTCTCAGTTGACTGCTAGAATGCTCTAACACGGCTCTTAAGAGCAACTCTTCTTTCTTAAGACGTGAACAGGTTTTAAGCTCTGAGGTTCTACAGAAAACAGTACCTAGCTAGAATTTAATATTATTTGGCCTTTATCATATTTACTATTCTATTTTTGGCAAATGACAATGATTTTCCATCTACAGTAATGATGTGAGCTTTTCTTTTGGAACAAATTTGACTTTAATAATAGATTTAAGTATAAACATAGAAAAATATTAAGTTAATCATACAGGTGATAACACTTATCCTAGGAAATTATGATAGAGGTATGAGAATATCTCAAGAACTGGAAATGTTGGCTAAAAATGTTAGCTTGAAATTTAACTATCCCTCAAGCATGAGAAAACAGGTACAATTTAAAATGCTGAGATAGTTCTTATCTCCCCCCAGTACTTTCTAGCTGAGTGGCCTTGGGCATGACCTCTTAAAGTTATTAAATCTTAATCCCCTCCTCTTCATAAAAGGCTCCGTTTTACAGGAACCGATGGGTTAAAGACAGCAAGTACCGCAGGTCATAAACTTGTAGACATTACTAGCGTCCTTTACAACTTTGCGACACGCTTTCTGAAGTTACCACGATAGACTGAGCTAACCCCTCTCGTTCTCTGAGATACTAGGTCTGCAGAACTATAGCTGGCTCTAGACAATGATCGCATTCACTTTTATTTTCCACTTAGTTTTATGTAGGAAGTGAAGAACTCAGCTCAGTCTCGCTCACAGCTAGCTGCTCATGAATCATCCTGAATAGTTGTAAGCTGCGGAGGGGACCACTCAGCCCGAATCGGAGTTTTCTGTGTGAATTCTAACTTATCTGAACACACTCTTTAACAGTTTAAATAAAGTGTAAAAACAAAACAAGACAGCCCCTCCACAGAACTATATAAACAATATAGCTACACCCCTGCAGCTTAGACTGAAAAGAAACCTTAATCTATGTTTCAGTTTGGCCCATCCCTTCAGCTCCCCCCATTATGAATGAGGCCTGAAGAAGCCATGAACGTGCGGAGGTGGCGGCCGAGCGAGACTTGGCGCACACACACCCCCTCCCCCCGTGGTTCTCTGGCTTTCCACCGCCAAAGCGAGCGTGTGCTGAGACTTAGAAAGCAAGAGATGTCCGTGTGTCTGTGATACTGCGCTTAAATAGGAGGTAAAGCCTCACCTCCCGACTGAACAGGGTCCGTTTGAATTCCCAACTCGTAAAATTATTAAAGTGGGGCCTAGAAGTTTCCTTCAAGCATTAATAATGATTTTCGTTTTCCAAACGATGCACCGACCTTTTGGCAAACTATCATGAGAGGATTTTCTGTGTGCTGCCCTCTGCTTTCGTTTCCTGGAAGGGTTTTGTTAAGTAGGTCACCTCATTAGTAAGGGTGCAGGGCACAGGTGACGTGTCAGCACAGCGCTGAGGCTCTAGCTGAAGTGCAGTAGGCCCACAGTCTGCAGCTCTAGCTGTAAGCGCAGTAGACCCGCAGTCTGCAGCTCTAGCTGAAGCGCAGTAGGCCCGCAGTCTGCGGCTCTAGGTGTAAGCACAATAGGCTCACAGTCTGCGGCTCTAGCTGTTGGCACAGTAGGCTTGCAGTCTGTGGCTCTAGCTGAAGCACAGTAGGCCCGCAGTCTGTGGCTCTAGCTGTAAGTGCAGTAGGCCCGCAGTCTGTGGTTCTAGCTGTCGGCACAGTAGGCTCGCAGTCTGTGGCTCTAGCTGAAGTGCAGTAGGCCTGAAGTCTGCGGCTCTAGCTGTTAAGCACAGTAGGCCTGCAGTCTGACTCCTGCTCTTCAGCGTGGCTGCCGTTCATGTTCATCAGCGTGGCACCACTGCCACACCGCCCTACACCACCGGGTTCAGGTGGACCAGATACTGCTGTTTCTCCTAGTAATTTGGTAAAATTCATAAGAGCAGTTTTTAGAAATGCTTTTTTTTTATAAGTTGTTAGGGACAGAATGACACACATCTCTAGCAGTAAAACAAACGCGTGATTTTAGATGAGAAGTGCCCAGGTGTTGAGCAGTTTTCTGAATGCCTGCTCATACTGCCCGCGCGGGCAGGGAAACCTCAGCTGTTGCGGGCTCGAAAGCCTGAGGCTGCCGTGCCTCTCCCTCGCCGCCACACCAGTCACCAGGT